TTGTTTAGCTTTTTTTCCTTCTAGCACAGGATAAGGTGAAGTGCGTTTGTCCATTTGTCAAGCAAAAACAACTGATGACTGTGAGATATAGCCTACAGGAGTGGGAGTATACGTTTTACTTCTTCTTACTCCTTTTTTGAGTTGATATTTAGTTATTTAAAACAAATGTATGCTGTATAAGTTAAGTTATTTATTGAACTTGAAATGAAATGTTCATTCATTCATTCAATCATAAGAATATACTGATAATAAAGAGGTTAAATTGTATAAAGTGCTGATATATCTTTGAGGCAACAGACAATCTTGAAAGAACTGCTAAAAGGTTGTTTTAACTCATAAACATTTGATTTTTATGGATGGATGGCTTTCAGAGTTTAAAGATATTACATAATGTCTCCTTCAGTAATTTATTGCTATATTTTCCACTCAAGGTCTTTTTCAAGAAAAAAACTACAAACTTGCCTTTATTACCATCCATCCATCCATCCATCCATTTTCTACCCTTTAATCCATTTCTGGGTCAGGGGGGTGGCCGTCAGAGATGCCACCCAAGTCTCATAGCACCAGCCCCTCACTGACCCTCTGCAGGTGGTGAGTCCACAGGAGGACGGCTGCTCTCTGAGTGTGAGCATAGCCTTGATCTTTCAGCTGGGGCTTTGGGCAAAGTGGGGTTAAGTGTCTTGTCCAAGGACACAACGACAGCAGTCATCAGTGGGAGTCGGTGGAGAAGGTGCAGAGGTGGGAATTGAACCCACGACCTTCTGGGCTTAAGGCCAATGCTCTACCAACTGAGCTACTGTCGCCCCCTTGCCTTTATTACGTTTTTATTAAAACAAGCCTGCTTTTAAGAATAACAATTCGTTTCAGCTTGCGAAACATGTGCTTCAACATAATATAGAACATGGTAAACAAAAAATATTGTTGTTGACATGTCAACCTGTTATTTAGAAATGGTTTAATAACTAAATCTGCTGATCTCCTTGGATTAACTACGTATTTTCCTGTAAGGGATGAGGAAACATAATCTCCTATTAATAGGCGGGGCACATCAAGTTATTTTCTTCTAAGATTCAAATGCTTTATTTGTTTTGAAATGTACCGTTTCTTCAAGCTACTCAGGGAAAAAAAGTTCAACTATTGGATCTTTTACTTGCAATCAGGGAAAGTCAGCCAAGTATGTCTACACATCTAACACAGCATGATAATGCACTAACCCCGTTTGCCAGTTCAATGAATCCAGACACTAGATGCCCAAGTTTCCTCCAGCTAAGAGGGAAGAATAGATTACCAATAGCCCAGGCAGGGAGGCAAACAAACATACAAATAAGCTGCATTCAGTCAGAGAGAGCACCTCGCAATTAAAGCAAAATGCTGGTGATGCCCACCAGATAGGAAATGTGTGGGACATGTAGCAAATGTGCAGAGCAGAGCTGCCAGGCGGCCCACGTACAGCGGAAGAGCTCCAGGGAAGGCTGTCACACACGGAGGGAACATTAGAGAGCCAATTCAAGGTACAGCCACAACCAACTTCAGAAGGTCTGTTCAGATTGATAATATGTAGCAAATATTATATTAATTTGGCCTTTTCAACTTGAATCAGCCCACATACAGGAGGGCCTTTAAAAAATACTAATCAACGGAGCCTTAGTTGAGGGCAATTATTTCCTCCGGGGGTCACATTGCGGAGGGCAGTTTTTACGCGGTCACTATTCAAACATATTTGCTGTTTTCTGTGACAGTTCAGTTATACCATGTTTAAAAAACATACTTATATGGTAAATGTTTTTGACAAATTATTTGTAATTTGGGTTTGTTTAGGGTTCATTGTTTAAATCCAAACAAATGCTCATGTTTTCTAGAGAAAATTGCTTTAAAATTAGGTTTAAAATACCCTGGAAGAACATATTAAGTTACTCTCCCAATTATTTAAATAGGCAAACAGACGGATGGGAAGGGTCCAAGGCCACATATAAATGTGAATCTGGCCATATGTGGCCCGAAGCCCTCAGTTTGCCCAGGTGCATAGTTACTATGGGGTAAATTTATCAAAGGTGTGTGCGTGTGTGTGTGTGTGTGTGTGTGTGTGTGTGTGTGTGTGTGTGCAAAAGTGAGTAACACAACTTAACACTGGAGCAAATTGATTGCACATGCTGTTTTATTTTGCTAAAGTTCTTGCATGGATTGAGAATATAGTCCTCCGTGTGTAAGCAAAATGTTAATTTGAAAAGGAAAATCTAGATAAGTTCTTTATTTTAAAATGAATAGGCATTCATGCCTGGACAAAATTGACAACATGTAATTCGGCCGCTTTGAGTTCCACAATATTCAAGTCATAATTGCACATTGATTGTATAATGTAACAATATGCAATTCAAGAAAATATCTTAAAGATAACAAATCTAAATATAACCAAACCAACTTTTCTACCTTTCTTGAGCATCATAGAATTTGTAATAATCTTGACCTCAATGTATCACTGTATCTTGAACTGGTTTGGTTTATTCTGTGCAGTGTCTTCCAGTTTGCCTACCACCTTGTCATGAATGGTCTCTTCTGTTTATTATGGTATGCAATCATGTGACCAGTGTCAATGTGATCCACCTTTTTAATAGGGCGCTAAACTTGCCCTCATTCAAACTCTGCACTGATGAGGACGTCACAAAGTCAAAACATGGCCTTTTATATTCCACGCCAGTGCGTCTCGGATCCTTGCGTTTCAATGCCTTAACGCAGTACTTGGTGTGTGTTTCGCCCTTATCAACTGTCTTTAAATAGACTAGAAAATCACACTAGACTGGGATTTGACAGTACGTTTTACAAAACACCAAACAAAGCTGTGTGTGACGTATTTCGCTCCATACTTCCACAGACAACATTCAGCAGCGCTGTTACCCATGAAATCACATTCTTGTTCAACATTGAAACAAAAAAACTTTAAAAAAAGGCATTATACAGCATAAATGTCCACTTCTCCACGCTCTAATGGAGCTTGCATTTTGTGTAAAATGCTGCTAAACTGTTTAGCTGCATTTATGGATTATATTATAGTACATCCATAAATAAATTATGGATGCAATATAATTAAAATGTGTACTATATTATTTCTTACCTTAAGTGAACATGTTTTATACATAAGCATATATTTTGTCATGATTGCACATATTAATACTAGGTTGAATGAATGGCCAGACTAATTCAAATAACTAGGGGCAAAAAAGTCTAGCGTAACATCAGAGTGCAGAAAAAGGTTATGGTAACATGGTAGGTTGATGTAGAAACATAACAAAGCAGCAGAAAGTGCGATACGGCGCATTTTGGCAACAAACATTAGCCTTAATTCTGGGGTTTTCTCCTCTTTTCCTGAATCTACTACTTTATATCAAACAGATAAGAACACAGCATTAAAATTGAGGTATCAAGAAATTACCCATACCAAAATAAATCTATTTTACCAAGGCCTGATTAAGTGTTTAGATGTATTATATAGGACTTGATTCAAATTGGGATTGAGGAAAACCAGTACAGACCCATGAAGGGGATCAGTGGAAAAATATTCATACGTTAAATATTAATCGATACAAGTTGTCATTCATAATATTAAAAGGTACCCTTTAGTTACAACAAAAATAGGCATTTTATATATGGTAATCAAAATATTTAGTATGACTTCTCATTTTGATGTTTGTCAATTTAGACAATAAAGCACCCTACACAATGTCTGGAGCTATTTAGTTCCAGATGGGGGAGGTGTAAGAGGGAAGGTGAAAGTAGGAGGCAAGAACACAAGCAATCAGGCATTATTGTCAGTGACAGCGGTGCACCTTGATGGGCTAGTAGCTGCACTGTTTGTCACCTAACCAACCTCAATCAATCAATCATCTCGCTCAGCCTGCATCCACGATCAATCAGGCAGCCTCTCTCCCACACTGGCCCTTGCTCTGAGCTGCTGCCTGTGCCGAGCACTTCTTTCAGCGGCCAAGCGCCACCGCACCAAAAAAGGACTTGTGGCACTAATATTTATATATAAGAGTTGTTTTCATGCTCTTATAATGTGAAATGCAAACTTTCTTGGAGTGGTCTAAAATGATCACCAATGTTGGTCTAGTTATTTTACAAAAGTATATATAAAGACACTAAAACTGAAGAAGGTTCATCTTTGCCCTGAGCTTCATGATGCTTTATTGACCACATGGGTATTTATTGCTTCATAGGTATTTATTGACTACATCGCCTGATTGCCCCACACTGAACATTGAACAGCATGATCTGCTCACAAAAGTGAAAGAATATCCCATATATCAGAGAGAAACATGTTGTTATGTCAATTCTGTTCATTGTATAACCTTTTATGCACATTCATTCAATTCAATGTTGTTTTTATATGTTATGCTTTGATTATGCACTCAGTGAATAAAAAAGGTTAAGCAAAAGTTAAAAATAATTTCACATCTTTTGCTCTGAGTGAGAAATCTGCTGACACCTTACAAAAACATTAGTATAAATCTTACACATTTAATGAATAACACTCTTGAAGATTTCGACACGGTTGGCAAGCTGTTATATATGTTTTATCAAATATAGACATGTTCTAAAAAATCTTTTTTTTTACCTTTTTACAGTTGGTTTCACACTGGGTTTTTTTTTAAAGATGTTTTTCTTTCTTTATTTGACACTCATAAAGAATAGATTGCCCCATCAACAGATACTTTATCCTTTGAAATAAAGGTGTATAATATTTTAACAACATGCTTTACATAATCCATTATTAATCAAGAGTAAATGAGCACATGTTAGTGGCATTACTAAATTATTCACCAAGATAACCCAAACGCTATGATCCAACCACCGCCCTCCTCCTGTCTATTGATTGTCTTCGTGCTGTGTAGAAACTGTGTCTATCTGGTGAGCAGTGTCTCCCTTCTGAAGACCCAAATGGGGCTGATGTTTCTTTTTTCAGCACATTAGGTTGCAGCCTTAGGGGTGCTTTGACCAGTGGATCAATGGCTCTCGCGCTCCTGTCACCCTTCATTTGCAGTGAGTGGGCGCTGGCTCCAGTCCTCGTCTGCCTCTGGCCCTGCCTTCACCTGGCCTGCCTGCCTCTCCTGAGCTCCCCTGACAGCTGGCTGCCACCAGCACTAGTACCGGAGGAGCAGACAGATGACAAGTCCTTAGGCTCCACAAAAGCATGCTCCCCCTCCGTAAACAGGACCACTCTGCCCCCTCTTTCTTCACTTGCTCCGCACACCATGATCCCGTGTCTCCTGCTCGTCCTCCAGTCTGTCTCTGGTCACTGGAGAAGCACCTGACGATATCCAAAGTGTTGCAAAGGGCCCGCCTCATTCATTTGGGGTTCATTTTGGCTAAAAGTCATATTTTAGAATTAACCTGCATATTATATCAACATATATCTATAATATCAATACAATGATATACATACACTTATATATATTTGAACAGATTGTTGTATTGGTCAATTGCTACTTCATTATTGTCTATTGTCTGTCCATCGAACCAATACTTTTCAGAATAATTTGTTACTTGTGTATACTGTGAATGTGTTCTTGTATCTTGTTTCCTTCAACTCCTCCTTCCTTCCTCCTGTCTATGTTGCTTTTGTCAATACTGTGGTTGTATACTTGAAATATATGAATCATTATAATAACAATACTAATATTATAGTAAAATTGAAATTTACATTTTACAAACGGAAGTTTCAAGTTTTGCTGTGAGAGGCGAAACTAGATCAAATTGCTTTTATTGCGACATCAAAGCTGTTTACTATTCCAGGACAACAAACGCTCTTAAATATCCCCCACTAGTTATTGTGCCCTTGTGCTATGGAACATATTGCACTGTATGTAAAAAATGAACAAACATGGGCTGGGCGTCGGCCACGGAAGAGGAGGCTTGTTTTATCGCCTGTACTTTATTACAGTTTGCCATCTGCACGGAGGTATGTTAATAGCTAGCTGCAACTATTTACACATATGAAAAAGTACATCCATCTGCCATGCTGTGCCACTCTCACATGAATCAAGTCCCGCCTCTCCGCAGCCCAACAACTGCTGTTTATTCACAAGGTGACAGGCAGCACCCGAGCCTGGGCGACACCTGCACCTTACATCCTGCCGCTTGACATATGTGAACCACAAATACACAAAACATCGCACATCTCACCTTGCCATTTCCTCGCCACATTTGGCAAGGTTTTTAAAAAAAGGCATATTTTTGCACATAGCAGAATTGTTATTAGGGAGAACCTGAACAAATCAAATGAACAACAACCTATCGAATCTAATCAGTCAAAAAGGGATTATACAGTTAATTACTTATATAGTCATTTAGGTTAATTCCTTCACCGGGGCTTGGCTTAACACTGTACCAGGTGACAAAGGACTGGCTGGGTATGCACTAGGGCCATTTAAGGCTACAGAAAAAGAATCAAACGTGGAACAGCATCCTCCTTGAAATACTGTATGTGTTTAATAATAAATTGACAATGAGTAATAAAAATTATTTTAACTGCAGCAATTATCAAATAATATAGTGTTATGCACATCCACTCCGCATCACATTATGGCTTGTTGTGGTTTGGGGATACAAAGGAGGAATAAATGGATCCATATAGTGTAAAAAGTGGAAAGTCAATAATAAATCTTGGTTATGGGCACAGAAGCCGTGTTGAGTGCAGTGAGGACAAGGCTAAGTGTGTGTTAAATCACTATCTGTGAAAATGTAGAGGTGTACACTGTGATACACAAATATTTAATGCTACTAAGGAAAAACTCAGATAAGTCAACTGTTTAATTTGCAATGTGAGGATACTATTTCTCATGTGAATGTGTCTTAAAAATGAATATAGCCCATTCTAACATTTTAAAACAATTTCTAAAACATAACTTTAAAGTAAGTTGCCATTTTAGATTTGACGCTGTTCCAATAATCCTTAAGGAACACGGTTGCATGGACACACTTATGAATAATATATAGAATAACACCATTTTAAATGTATGTTTATGTGAGACGTTAATCATGTTGGGACAGTCCAGCAGAGGAATGTACAGTGAATGTGAGGTGAGACAGATTACCTGACACTAATACTTGATGTATGATTGACCCTGAAGCAGGACACTGCACATTACAATCTAGGCCATATGGTAAGACATTAGCCCTTCCAGCCTTCAGCAGGATAATCTTTCCATCCTGGCAATGTCTCTTCTTCACAGATTTCTTTGCCCAATAATTGCATGACAGTATTAACGCATTGGGAGATTTAAAATGGCTTACGTCACATGAAGGAGTGGCCTAAAGGAAGTAAGAAGACATAATCTGTGATGAAGAAAGATATTTATAAGTTACCTTAAGGGTCCCCTTTTAAGGCACATTTTGTGGATCTTTGCTTACACATAATGAAGCTCAGTCGATGTAATAAGTGAATGTTTGCCATCTATGATTAAATATGAGTAAGTAATATACCATTTCATCTGATGAAAATATTACAAAATTAGGCTTCAGTCATGCAAAGACTTTACCTGAGCAGGTAAAATGAGGTATGAAAAGCATGCATATTCAGTCCCTTCACTGGTATTGATTAATATATCATGTATCGGCAGATATTGAACGCCAATGTATAAAGATCTAGTTTGGACATGATAAAGCTGGACTGGTGCATCACTAGTTATAATATGATACTTTTCTTATATCCTATAGTTAGTTCCCTAGTGGTAAAATAAACAAACATCTAATTATAGATGTTTTTGCCAATATTCACCACACATAAAATACATATGGCAAACTAAGGCTAATTCCTAATTCTGCATGATCTGCGGAACCCCAGATGCTCATATGCAGGCGAACCCTCTGGGACAGTCTGACACTGAGCAGCACAAAACCCCACACATGACGCCTCTCACCCCTCCACATCTCTAACAGGGCCACCCCATTCAGGCATGTACTTTGGTCCTAGAGGCTGAAACCTCCAGTCTCCTCTCCATACCTAGTAATGAACAAATTCACTGCACATTACTCTGAACTTGATCTCTAGCAAAATAGTGCTGGAACAAACAATTTGGTTTGTCAACACCTTTCGCTGGACTCCTCCATCAATGTCAGGGGTCCAAATTTAAACAGCAAAGTGCATTTGACTGTAGGACCCTGAGCTGATTAGACTTCCCAGCCCAGCGAATTGCTCCAGACAGGCCGGCAGCTCTGATTGCTAACCCAGCTTGAAAATAGTCTCGGCTGCCTCAGGATTAGCATGAATATTTTGATATAGATCGATAAGCAATCTCCACTCCATAAGAAATGCCAGCAGCCTTCATTTGGCTGATCAAACGCACATCAGCCAACGGGTGACAGCTGGCTATTGTTTTTCAGCCGTGGCTGTGTTGAGGCAGCCAATCCATGGGAACCACGAGCACGACCGGCTACTCTTCCCACCTAATCGTGGAAACAATCACTGCTTCACAGGATCCCATCTTCCAGGGACAGAGCCACTCAAATGAAGGAGGCAGAGGGTCCGATCGCAGTGGGACAGAGTTCATTACAGGGGGGCTCTCGAAAAGCTCAGACGCCGGGTATGCTGACCCGGAAGTAACAGCTGGGTCAGCAATCTATCTGTTTACCTTTTCAGAACCTAAATGTGTGTCATTGGATTAGACTGTGACCAAGAGTTTGAGGTTGCAAACCAGGACTGCACAAATATACCCTTTCAAGTAGAATTTTGAATTTGTATGTATTAGCCAAAGAAAGCCAATGCACAGCAGGCTCCAGAGTATAGCGTGTGCATGTCTTCAACAGCGGGAGCCCACAAACCAATCACTCCATTCACAGCAACACCCCAAAGATTTAGAAGAGCCCATAAAAGGACACAAGTGTGACCTAAGCTTTTAGCAGTTAAAGAGTGTAGAGTGAGACCACACGCCACAGAGTAAGAGCTTCCATGCAGGACCTATGCAAGGGGACAGAGAAGGGAGGAAATGGTGGACCAATTGAAAATAGTTTGTTGAATTAATTTTAGTGTGTCACTTTATTCCAGGGCAGGCCGATTCAAAAGGAATAATGAACATTTATTAGAGGAATATATAAGGAAGATATAATAGTTATGTTGGTGGCTTGGTATTTAGTTAAAAGAATGAACCACCATGTTTCTTGCATTGCTCCCTGATTTGATCTATTTAAGTTTATTCAATAAAGACAAGTATGTTCCATGAGCACATCACGCACTACAACATTTTAGACGATGCTTTTTATCAGTACAACATATTGTCTTAAAGGATTGTTTTGAAAAGACCTAAACACTGTCTTAAAAACACTTTAATACTCTCATATTGTTTATCTCTTAAACATATTGTAAAACTTTAATAATAAAAATAACAGTAGAATAAATTAAATCAGATAAAATTCATGTTTGTTTGTTGGCTAGTTTGGGGTCATGCAATGTACTATAAAACGTCAAGCCTTAGATATGAAGCATTAGGGATGGAATCACCAGTTTCATCCATACAATTGTCACTCAATTCTTCTATCCAAAAAGTACCTTAAACATTAATGACACTGCCGGATTTGTTAGGTCGCACATTTAAATCAGACCCTTCAGCTCAGATTTATTACAGAAATCTTTCAAAAGCTTTATCAGTGTTTATGTTATTACTTCAACATGTTTCAGTTAACATAACCTTGAGTCCCGGCAGTGCAAGTGCGAGGATGGCCTGTTTTGCTTGCGGTGCAGCCCCATCATGTTCCTTGGCACCAGCTCAGACCAAATTTCTCATCATGCTCAACTGAAATGCAGCCAGGGTGGCCAATAACACTAGAACAGAAAATTAAAATCATTTATTTGTGTTGTTCAAATAAAAATGTGGCGTAAAAAGGAGACAGGACGCTAAAGATTTTAAAATAATTATTATTGTCATGAAATAGTTTAAAAAAGAGAATATTGGAATGACCTATGATGACCGTGTAAGGAGTAACAAGAAACAAAAGCATTACAATGCTGTGCCAATTTAACATTTGCAAGTATCAGCTGAAGTGACAGGCAGCACTAAGTGAACGTAGTGTATGAGAAAGACTTCGACAAACTCTAAACACATCAGGAAGTGTCTATTGGATGCAATCAACAGGGGTACATTATAAGCAGTTTAGATATTTCCTCCTTATCCAATACTTACAAACACAGTTTACTTCAGTGTGCAGGTTAATGATTTTTAGCATCTGAAAACTCGTCTGGGTGCAGCTGAGGACTTAAATAATAGCAGGAGTGGTATTGAACCTCTTCGCAGAAGATCAAATGCAGCTTTCATTAGTT